TCGTATAATGTGGTGAGATCTAATGAGGTTTTGGTTTCTAAGTGTATCTTCTTTAGCTCCTATAGTAACCCTATCGTTTACAGTACAACGATATATTGGTTTCTAACGCTGGGAGCAATGCTATCTTTTTGTGAGTAGCTACCAAAACCAAAATATCTTCCTCTTTGCTGCTTCCAAAGTTGCAAATTTATCTCACTGTTATGCGTATGACACCATGTCAATACTTGTTAATATATGTTTTTGTTAATTTCAACCTACCTTATGGTTGTTCTAAACAAGCTATTTTGTGTGTAACATTCACACTTAAGCCATTTTAGAAAACCATACTCTTTTGTTTCTTCTTAAGAATAAAAAGTTAACTTTTACAAAGTTGACTAGTACTCTTAGCTCAGGTTGGACATATACTCCTTTAGAATGAATCAAGTCCATTTCTCATGGTACTCTATGGAACGATTTTCATGCGGTCCTGTTTCAGAGTCAGTTTCCAAAAGGCTTTACCCTGAGATTCATGCAAGTTTCAAAAACTTCCAGGTATGTAATGGTCTTAGATTATTCCTAGTCCTTTGATCCATCTACCTGGATTCTTTAGACTTGAGCACATAACTACTATTTGCATTCATGACTCATAAGTTTTTTAATTTATTTTTTCAATCATATGCAACATACTTATTGTGCTCCCACTAGTCTTTGATAAGACTTTTATCCTAGACATATAAGTGCTATAACTGGTTATAAATAATTTCGAAATATTTCTTTTATCCTTTATAGACTCATCCAAAGCAAGTATTAAGGAAGGAAGGAATCGTTTTGGAATAGATTCCAAGTATTAAGGAAGGAATCGTTTTGGAATAGATTCCAAGTATTCTTTCCTTTCAGAGTCTATAATGGTTATTTTAGTGCTTAAGGTGCAATAGTATTTGGCCATCTGAATAATAAATGATAAGATTATTTTTGGACGAAGGGAGTATATTTAAAACTTATCTTAAGATTGAAAGTAACCAACTATATACTGTTGTCCCAAAATTCACAAAAGTCTAAGACCGTTTTGTATGGAATCAAACAGCATATAATTTAACATTTTTGAGCTTATATAATTCATTTTTTTATTTCGTTGTATATGATGAAGTACGAAATGACCTTGAATTTTTTTAAAATTATATAATGATCAATTATATGAAACTTAAAATTCTATAGTGTGTTATAACTTCGTTGGTTGCTAGAATGAACAAAAAATATGGGAACCAATACGTTGACTACCTATTTAATTTGTGCAAGTCAAGAAGCTAGGGGATCAACCCGTTCAGTGAGTGCGGGAGATATATGTTTTGATATCTCCCAATATTTGAAATTTTGTGTGTGTTTAATTTGGTGAACCAAAAAAATCAAGATTTTTTATATCTTCATATTTGGAGAGTTTTAATATCAACCAAAATTTGTAGATCGATATCAATTTAGAGATTTGATATCTTCGTCAATTATTGACCACCCTTGTCATCGGCTACTATTGTCACTGCAAACCATCCTCATTGCCGGCTACTAACACATATTACCAATTAAATCATAATTTTAACTATCTTCAAAACACTTCATTTTAGATATTAGAGCTCATATTATTTTCTCTTATTTAAGAAAAATATCACATCATACCTTCAAAACTTACCAAACAGGTCCTAAAATATGCGAAGTTAATTCCAAAGTTGAATGAGCATTGGCATAAGTGAAAGTATGAAAATTGCTATAAAATAATAATAATAATAATAGTAATAATAATAGTAATAATAATAATAATAATATAATAACAATAACAAAAATGGTTGTATTAGTTATGGTAGTCTATATATTTTAGTGAGCTTCTATTATTCTTCCTATTTGTAGTTAGAGTTATAATCTTCTCTATGTATACTTTGTCATGTATTCTATTATTCTTTGAATAATACAAGAATTCCATTATTCAATACGGTATCGAAGCTAACGTATCTCTTCTAAAAAAACCTAGCCTCCTTTCTTCTACGAACAGGCATCATTATCATTCTTCTTCATTGAAGATCAACCGCCAAAGATCATGGCATTATCATCTCTTATCCCTCTTTCTTTCTCTTAAAAAAAATTGTGTGTGTGCCTCAAAGACGCCACCGATCTAGAGGAGCGTGCCTTATTGACACCGCCCATTATCCCTCTCTTTCTCTCCAAAAAATAGTGTGTGTTCGTAACAATCACCACCGATCTCGACGATCGTGCCTAACAGTCATTGTCCTTTATCCCTCTCTCGCTCTTTTTTAAAAAAACCATGTGCCTGATCAAATAGCTATAAAGCTGCATTTTTCGGTGTTTTTTCCTAGAGTTCGAGAGCATGAAAAACAATAGAGAATCAAAAAATGGTCCAAAAGGAGAAAAAAGAAACTCATCATTATAGATAAAATCACCAACACTCTCCGAAAAAAATAGCACATGCACTCTCAAGCTTTCTCATCACATAAAAAATATGTCTTTCTACTTGTAATTGACTTACTCATGAAGGTTCTATCTTACTCCGTAATCCGTATCTATATTTATTGGAGTTAGACTTGTAAGATTAAATTTATACTCCCTCTTAGAGTATTTTTCCACTTTCATTTTGACATACATACCAAGATGGGGTGGGTAATTAATGTCATAAAAGTCCATTATTATTTTGAGTGTTTGATAGAAGAGGTTGGTTGTTGATTGCCCATCCTTCCTCGTATGGTGTCCTTTGAATCTGTAAACGCCTCTCCTTCAATTCATTGCACGCTATTGGCATCATCCTGGAACATCATTTCAATCCACATTCGTTAAACCCCATGAACTTATTTACAAACTCAAAGCTAGCTGTTGAGCGTGCCGGTGATAGAATTTCAGCTCGCACCACTAGATCTGCGATGCTAGATGAAGGATGCTAGTTATGAGCAGAGAGAGATCCTGGTAGCGGCAGTGATTGCTAGGAAGTTTCAGTAATAGCCGTGATGAGCCAAAGAAGGGACGCTGACAAATTCTATCAGTGATGGTAGCTAGAGCAGATTTTAGCAAGCTACAGGACCGCTGGCGACGGTAGGCTACATAAGCATCAGCAAAGACAGTTGATAAACGCCTGGCAGTGGGCCAATGATAACGTGGGGAGAAAACGCCCATTAATGCGCATTTGCACGGTTGGCCCAAAGCACAAGCCCAATGGGGATCCATCCTAAAACCAATTGGCAAAAGGAGAGAAACCATCAAACTTATAGGAGTTGGACTTCTCGAGTTCGGATTAGAATGGGAAACAAATAAATCAAGATCAATCCTAATTAGAATGGGATTCGGTCATCATAGGAGTTGGACTTCTCGAGTTCGGATTTCTCAGAATTCGGATCTCTCGGAATTCGGATTTCTCGGAAGTTGGACTTCTCTAGATCCGGACTTCTCAGTTCCAATACCCCCCCTTAAGCTGGAGCGTGCAGATTTTGCGTGCCCAGCTTGGACAGCAAATGTGAGAATGGAGCGGAAGCCAAAGCCTTTGTAAACATGTTAGCTGGTTGATCGGTGGTGGAGACATGCCGGGTACATAGAACACCTTTCTGAATTTCATCACGCACAAAGTGACAGTCAATCTCAATGTGTTTGGTACGTTCATGAAAAACGGGGTTAGCTGTGATATGAAGAGCAGCCTGATTATGGCAAAACAACTGCATGGGTTGTTTGTGATTCACGCCCAAGGACAATAGAAGGGACTTCAACCATTTTAGTTCACAAACAGTGGTTGCCATGGCCCGGTATTCAGCCTCAGCAGATGAGCGGGAGACCACATTTTGTTTCTTTGTACGCCAGGACACCGGGGAATGGCCGAGAGTAATAAAATAACCAGTAACTGAACGACGAGTCAAAGGACAGCCAGCCCAATCAGAGTCACAGAAAGTCGTAAGAGTGAGATCACTTTGTGCTGGAAGGAATAAGCTTTGCCCGGGACTACCCTTGATATAGCGCAGAACATGTGTCGCGCCATCTCAATGCTCCTGTCGCGGGTTCCCCATAAATTGAGATAACACATGAACAGTATAAGCCAAATCAGGAAGACTAATCGTGAGATAAATAAGGTGCCCGACAAGCCGGTAATAACACTCTGGATTAGGAAGAAGCGGGCCACTCGCCAGAGCCAGATGATGATTCTGAGGAAGAGGGGTTGAAGCCGAACGAGCACCTAAAAACCCAGTCTCACAAAGAATATCAAGAGCATATTTTCTCTGGCATATGAAGATTCCTTTTGAATTCTGGGCAACCTTAATGCCCAAAAAATATTTTAAAAGGCCGAGATCTTTCATATGAAAGCAATCAGAGAGATACTTTTTAAATTTCTCAATGAAACCTTCAACATTTCCTGCAATAATGAGATCATCCACATACACCAGCACACGAAGTTCAATGGAGCCATGCCTAAGAGTAAACAAAGAATAGTCAGCCTTGGATTGGTGAAACCCAAAATGGTTCAATGCAGAGGTGAGTTTAGCAAACGAACAACGTGGAGCTTGACGAAGACCATAAAGAGATTTATGATGACGACAAACCAATCCTTTACCGCGAGAGGCAAACCCTGGAGGAAGAGTCATGTATATTTCATCACGAAGATCTCCATGCAAAAAGGCATTATGAACGTCCATCAGATGCAGGAACCAGTTTCGGGCAGCGGCAACGGCTAAGAGAGTGCGAACGGTAACTAATTTGGTCGTCGGTGCAAAAGTCTCTTTAAAGTCAATTCCTTCTTTCTGACGATTTCCAAGCACCACCAACCGAGCTTTGTATCGTTCAATGCTTCCATCAGACTTGCGCTTGATTTTATAGACCCACTTTGATCCAATCGTTTTCCTTCCACGAGGCAAAGGGACAAGCGACCAGGTACCATTAGCTTCCAATGCCTGAATTTCTTCCTTCATAGCTCGTACCCAAAGTGGGTTTTTGACCGCCTCAGAAAAGAATGTAGGCTCAACATCTGTACTTATAGCTGCCAGAAAACATCTATGGGAAATAGAAAATTTGTCAGTGTTAATAAAATTTGTAATACAGTGCGCTGTACCTGAAAGCGGCGTCGATGTGGGTGAATCAGGAGAGGAACGTTGAATGGTGTAAGTGACGAAGTCACGCTGTCGCGAAGAAGGACGGTGTTCTCTTTCACTTCGGCACAAAGTGTCTTGGGTCAGAAGGGTTTGGTTATCAAGATCAGGGGAGAGCCGAACTGTTTCAGTGGGTTGGTTGTTTGGTGGTGCTGATGTGGAGATATCTGGGTATGGTCGACCGTGGTCTTGAGAACGGTCCATCGAATCGACCGTCTGAGTGGCAGTGTCAGGTTCAGAGGGTGACGGTCGACCGTTGTTGGAAGTTTCTTCACTGGGTATTTCCTCCTCAAAAAACTCAGTAGTGGGTTCAGTTTCTGTGAGATTAGGGGTATTTTGCGGGTCAAAGGGAAAATCATTTTCAAAGAATTTGACATCGCGACTCACAAATATTTTATTGTTGTCTAAATCGAGAAGCCGCCACCCCTTTTGGCCGAATGGGTAGCCAAGGAAAACGCATCAATGAGATTGGGACTCAAATTTGTCTCCATGGTGAGATTGATTGTGGGCATAGGCGAGGCATCCGAAAACACGGATATGATTATATGAGGGGTTTTTCTGAAAGATCAAGGAATATGGGGTTTTGCCTTTATGTAGCTCAGAGGGTGTTCGGTTAATGAGATAAGCAGCGGTGAGGATGCAATCACCCTAGAATTTAAGTGGAAGATTTGCTTGGAAACGGAGTGCTCTGGCAATATTGAGAATGTGACGGTGTTTTCGTTCAACTCGACCATTTTGTTGTGGGGTACCAACACAAGAGGATTCAAAAAGAATCCCATGATTGCTAAAGAAGGATTTTAAACAAGTGAACTCTGTACCATTGTCACTTCGTACAGTTTTTACTTGTTTATTAAATTGACGTTCAATCATGGGAAAGAAGTTACGCAGGACAGTGGGAGCTTCATATTTGTTATTCAAGAGATATACCCATGTTGCCCGAGAGAAATCGTCAACAATAGTCAAAAAACATCTCGCCCCAGTGCGATACGGAGTACGATACCCATCCCACAAGTCACAATGAATTAAGGAAAAAGGAGTAAGAGTTTTATTGGCACTAATTAGGAAAGAGTCACGACATTGTTTTGAACGAAAACACACATCACAAGGGGAATTAGGAATATTGGTATTTTTGGATAATTGAAGAAAAGTGTTGACAATGGTGTAAGAGGGATGACCCAAACGCTTGTGCCAAATGTCCAGATCCTTTGCCTCCTTCACTGTGCAGACTTTGTCCTTCACAAATTTCTTGAGATAATACAGTCCTTCAGCCTGCTCACCCACTCCAATCACCATCTTCGAGATATAGTCCTGTATGATACAAATTTTATTATTAAACTTGACAATTAAATTCTTTTTCTCAAGAAGTTGTGAGACAGATATAAGATTACAGTTAAATTGAGGAACTAGCAAAACATTTTCTAAGGTTATCAAATTATTCAAGATCACACTCCCCTTTTTGTTGGACACCACACAATCTCCATTTGGTAGACCAACAGAACAAGGTTTCATAGCTTCCAATTTTTTAAAACACTTTTCATCGCTGGTCATATGTTGGCTGGCTCCACTATCAATGATCCAAGAAGTATTAGTCATACCTGAAAATGTATTTTCCATACCCGAATCCTTCTCATTTAAAAGTCCCACAAGTGCATTCCATTGATTGGTTGTGAGAGGAGGCAGATTTGCACGCCCTCCATCCGTCGGGTTGGCCTGAGCCGTGTGGGCCGCCGGTCCCCATGTTGGACCGCTAGCAAGACCGCCACCAGCCCCGCCTTGGTTACCTCGGCCAGCGTTGCCCCCCCTGCCGCCGCGCCGTCCTCCTGAGCCGTTGCCTCGGCCATTTCCTCATCCTCGGTTCAAAATGCATGGGCGATCTCCCCACCATTCAGGATATCCGACGAGTTGAAAGCAATCACTCTTCTCATGTCCGCTCAACCCACAATGTTTGCATTTTAAATCTTTAGTCATGTCACGATCAAATTTAGAAGTGACAACAAAGCCAACCGGGTTACGTTCCTCTTCTTGGGTAGTCTTCAAGACCCCTTCTTGCTGGATAATGACCGAGTAAACACGGTTTAGTGGTGGCAAGGGCTCTGTGGCGATGATGTTGGATCGTAGACTCCCATATCCTTCGTTATCCAATCCCATCAGAAACTGGTGCACCTTTTCTTTGTCCCTTTGAATGGCAAGAGCTTTGCTTATCCCACACTTGCATCCTTGGCATTGCAAGTGGGAATCTTTTCATGATCACCAAGTTCGTCCCAAATTGTTTTTAATTTTCCAAAGTACGTGACAATGGACTGGCCGTTTTGCTTGCAGTTTGCAAGTTCTTTTTCAGTTGATGAATCCGAGGCCCATTCGCAACAGAGAAACGATCTTGGATGTCTTTCCATAGTTCTGCTGCTACCTCTACTTGTGTGATAGAGTTTCTCAGACTACTGTCAATGGTATTGTAAATCCATGAGACCAACATGGCATTTACAATCCACCATTCTTAATAATTTTCATCTCCCTCTTCTAGACAAGGGATGGATCCGTCAATGAATCCAATTTTCCGTTTTGCACGGAATGCAATTCTCATTGCACGGGCCCATTCTTCATAATTATCACCGTTTAGTTTGACTTGGGTGATAATTAATCTGGTGTGTCTGCGTTCTTGAGTTCGTAAGAACTTCCCTTCGTAGGGATCTTCTCCTCCTCATCGAAGATCTTTCCGATGAGATTTTCCTCTGCATCTGCCATGTCGACGGTCGAGAAAGATGGTCCGGCGAAAGACAGGTTTGCTCCAGCGGCGGACAGTGAAGGACCGTCGTTTGTCTAAATTAGGGTTTTTTTTTCTAGGAACCAGGCTCCGATACCATGTAGAAATTGATAAGAGAGAAAATCTTTCTGTATATTCAATTGTTCTGTCTAATTACAAGGGGTTTCTCCTTTACTTATAGGAGATGATGATTCCAAAATAGACAAGGAATACAAATCCTACAAGGAAACAAATCAATAATCAAATTAGGAAACAAATAAATCAAGATCAATCCTAATTAGAATGGGATTCAGTCATCATAGGAGTTGGACTTCTCGAGTTCGGATTTCTCAGAATTCGGATCTCTCGGAATTCGAATTTCTCGGAAGTTGGACTTCTCCGGATCCGGACTTCTCAGTTCCAATAAATATTTTCATACTTTTTTACTCCTATCCATGAAGATTTGTTTTTCATATAACATATTTATGTTGTTTCCATAAATAGAACCATATTAATTTGACTCAAACAACTCAATGAGCAATACAGGTTGTTCTTAGTAGTATGAAGTACCATAGAGCAAGCATCATCGGTATCCATAATGTCCAACAATTCTGAACATTCAGAAAGTAGAATAAATTTTACCTTTTACGGAGTAAAATTTTTTAATTTTACCCAATGTATTTTAACTTTTAATATTAACTATTGTTTTTCAACTATATGTTCATGACTTTTTAAGAATATTTTATTATAAGTCATCAATACTTCATCCTAGAAAATAAACAATAATATCTTTTTTGCCCGTCTTGTCTTAAAATAAACACTTATTTTCTTTTTTAAAAAAATGCAATAGGTAAAATTTGTTTTTCTCTTAATAAATGTTAACCCTAAAATCTCATTCGTGGCAGGTTAAAAAGGGCACTAATGTAGGGGTAGACTCATGTCTCAATTGCCCAAAATAATCATGTGTACTGATATTAAGGGGTTATTCTCTTCAATTTACCTAATTGATTTTGATCTGATTTGTTAAACCTTGACCTGATGATCTAATTTTTATGGTTATATTTAAATCTATTTTTGATCAAATCTGATTTCAATAGGAATAAATAGTTAATAAAAAAGAAATTGAAAAAAAACAAGCTCTAAGACTATACTTCGTTTTTTTAGTATTCTAAAACAAATGTTTAGTTCCTTAATTACTTTTCTATAAAAGAAATATAATATAGTTCACAAAATTTCTCTTATTCAATTTTTAAATAAAATTCTAACTTAAGCTTCTTACTTTTTCAATGTCTACCATTGGATTGTGTTATGTTCATTTTTGTTTGCTCATCAGGCTGCTGCTGCTTTGACAAACAGAGTGATTGCTAACACTACAGTATTAGTATCCAATGTTGTGGGACCTGAAGACGAGATATCATTTTTTGGACATAGCATGGTTTTCGCAGCTCCTGCAGTTTATGGGGTCGGACATGTATGTATATATGTGTGTGTAGTTATTATTACTCCATTAATTTACTACATTTAAATTGTGTATATATACAAATTTAAAAGTTTCAATAACTAATGCATGCACAAATACCGTTCATATAATTCCTTGCATGCATGCACGATTTAATAGGGTTTGAATTCCTTATTTAATTCTTGTATACATGTTTGTAGGCGTTAACCATTCACTTCCAAAGCTATTGCAACAAGATGACGATATCAATGGCAGTTGATCCTGAAGTGATTTCAGATCCATACCAGCTCTGTGATGATTTGGAACACTCTCTTGAGATGTTTAAAGAGGCTCTCAAAATATCCACAAAAAAAGTCGTTGTCCTTGATGTGGATGATGCATCATACCTTTCCATTGTTTAATAATTGTACGAGTAATGCTAGGGATACACTAAGTTATATATACACAACTTTTACATCCATTTTTCTACATCACTCATTTTTCATCCATTCTCAATTTATTTTATCCACACCATTAGTTCTATGGTGGAGAGATTGATGGAGTACAAGTTGGGTAGAGTTTGATATACCTAAGCATTTTTGCAATTATATACTCCCTCGGTTTGGATCATCATTATGACTTCATAACGTTGTATTACATGATAAAGGATCGTTCTAAATTCTACCCAATGCTTACATTATCATTAAGATTCTCAGAGCCCTACCTGAGAGTTGTGCAATGGATGCAAAGGAAATTCATCAAGCACATGACATAAAGAGCATGACACTTGATGAACTCATGGGAAATTTGGAGACTATGGAACTCCAAATGAATAAAGAGACCAAAAGAAGGAAGGGTGAAAAGCTGTAACGCTCTGAAAATAAGCCTTTCAGAATAAATAGACCTTTCAGAATTATAAAGTTTGTCAATAAATAATGAAAACTATATCGTTATGTAGAGTTTGACTGTCTGATAGCAACGGTTCAATCGGATTTCAATTCGGAGAAAGTTGGACAAAAAAGTGTACCCCGACTAGGACCAAATTAGTCCCAATCAGGTACTTGCCTTTGAAATTAGAAAGTATCGGCCGTTCGCTCCACTCAGCCACCCGAACAGGAAACCAGACATCACCCTTGGCAGCATCCTTCACCATCTTTCTATATAAAGACCACTTCAACTCCTTCAATTCCTCACCATTTTTCACAATCTTTCTATCTATTCTCTTGCTGTGAGTAAGGAGAATGTAGTGGTGCAGTCATATTGGTGTGAAGTTGCCGGAGTTGGGAGTTCTCGTTGCCTGAAGTTTCCCCGGAAAAATTCTAAAACCTTCAATAAGCTTCGAGGTAAGCCCGTAGATATGTCTAGTGGCTAGAATGTTTGTATAGATCGTTTCTACATTCATAAAAGGTCGTTTGGTTGAGTTTTGTGTTTGACATACTTGAAGAACCTAGAATCATAAACCTTGAAATTATTGTTAAAACTATGAATTAATGATACCAAAATGATCTATGAACCTTGGAGAACATTTCTATATAGTTTAATTGAAGTTCAGTGACTAAAAATGGTATTTTCGAAATTGGGCCCGAAAGGAAGAAGAAGATGAACAGTGATCGAAAAACCAGAGGGTGGATCGATCACCTGGGGAAGTTTTTCTACGGTGGATCGATCCTAGGTACTGGATTGATCCCCCGACTTGTTTGCTCCGAAAATATTTCTAAAAATGTTATTTTTGAGTTCTAAAATCTTATTTTTTTATACCAATTAATTATGAACAATATAAAGATAATTTTTCACAATAAAATCGATGTTTTTGGAAAATAAAATCTTATGTGATGCATGGCAATAAGTTAGGGTGTTAACACTCGAAACAAGGCCGCTATTTGCTATTGGATGTTATATTGATTCATGATTATGATGACTAATTATTATGGATGATTATGAATGATGAACCTACTGATTAAAATGATTAGTGATGAGTAAATCATGACTAAAAAAGGATATATCGGTAATCATGAAGATAATGTGTATTGTTAAGGATATCTAGAAGAATTCTAAGATATACCCATTTGGAAATTGATGATGATTATTAAGGATATTTAGAAGAACTCTAAGATATACCTCCTTGTTCGTACGGGATCTAAACCGGATATCACCCACCCGACAGTTCACTGTTCGCTTAGTACGTAATCCACAAGACTCATAGGGTGGATTATCGATTCCTATGTTCTGCCTTAAACTATTTAGAGTTTAAGAGCCCGGTTAAAAATATTGCCTTAGACTAGGAATAGCTAAGAGCTTATTATAAAAATGATTTGTCCTTAGATTAAGAATAATTTAAAAGCATTATTGAAATATCTTGAATACAAATATTGTGAATATCAAGACTGATGAATGCTTGAATTGCATATTGTGTGCATGATATCAAATCGTTGGTTATGAATTGAGATTCAATTTATATGGATGTTCGACGCGTTACATATGCTTACTCAGCTTCACCGTTGAGCGTGTAGTGTGTTTTATTTGCAACACGCACGTAAACAGAATGAATGAATGGCATATTCCTGGAAGCGGATGGGCCGAGACAGTCGTGGTTGATTTATGGATAAAATAAATAATTATGTTTGTTATGAGACATACTTTAAATTCGCTTCTGCATTATTCTTAAACACTCCGTATTTCTATTGTTATGTATTGATTATTATTTATGATAAATAAAGATATTTGAAATGTTTGAAATTTTTAAGATTACCAAGTTAATACTTGGTCTGAAAGGGTTGCAGATCTGGACGGATTAGAGTGTTACAAAAGAAGTTTGCCTTTCATGGTCACGATAATGAAGATCCCAGTGATGATGACGTACCATCAGATGAGGATTTTCAAGAACACTTGTCACTCTTCACCAGACAATTTAAATGGCGATGGATGTAGAAGAAAGGGAAAAGTATTGCATAGGCTGAACCTTCAAAGTCACCTCAATTAAAGGGAATGAAGCAAAAAAGAGTTTAAGTCTTTGTAACGCCCCAAAATATACCCTAGAATTTTATAACAAATTTTTAATAAATCATAATTCTAATTTTCATTTAAATTAAATGAATGTCAAAACGAAAATGCTAAATAAGATATTTTAAGGTCTTTTTTTAATCGTCCAAGTTTATACTTTAATTGAATTACGAAGGTTATGGGTTTGACTGTCCGAGACTGGAAATATTATAAAGAAAACGGATGATATACAAATATAACATAAACATAATATTATTCAACGAAATTTGGATTTTTGGATAGATCTCTTAAAATGGTGACCAACGGTATATAGTTTGTTAAATTTAGAAATACATATAAAGCGTGGTGAGTGAAATAGACATTACAGTTCAATAAATAAATATAAAGATTTTATAACATTAAATAATAATAAAAATAATAATAATAACAACACCATACCTATCGTGCTTTCCTAAGGCTACACGTATTTCCAAATCCTAAAACCCAATTCCAACTTACTCCGTATTAGATATGTACTCCATATATAATCTATAAGGACCATGCTAGGGTGCCACCACATTGGTGCTATCATGGGTGTACCCATGCTTCGCACAGACAAACACAGATGATAATTGTTTGTGTCGCACAGACAATTATCGTCTTTGTTTGTCTGTGCGAAGAATGGGTGCACGCATGTGGTGGCACCTAGCTTTCTAATCTATAAATACGCACACCTTATTCTTCTTCGCCAACCGGTCTGAATCAGCCTTTCCCTTCTTCTATTGCTTTGTTGTACGATAAGCCTGAAGCTAGGTTCATCGAGATTGCCGGAGCTAGTTCTTCGCATATAAATGAAAGATGAGATTATAATAAGAAAGTTTACTTTTTTCTTATTTTAATTTAAATTTTAAAATTTATTTTTTTTGAAAATATAACAATACACTCTTGTTAGAAAATTTTCTCAATCTCTTTTTAAAAATATAAAAATTTATAAATTTTTTTCTGTTCTAGGGAAATATAATATTGGATTATCGAAAAGTAATTTGAGTATCGCTCGAGAAAAAAATTGCAATACAAAAAAATTATAGTGAATTATAAAATTAATTAGTGTCGTTTTAGAGAAAAAATATTGTGCGACTTTCACAACTTTTGAATTGTTATTTCAGGGAAAAATGTGTACTAAATTGTCGAAAAAATCGCAAGTTAGGTAGTTCCATTTTAGAAAAAATAATACAGGTAATAAAATATTATGAATAAGTATTTCAGAGTGTTGTTCATGAAAAAAGTACAATACAACAGAAAATGCAGTGAGTTATAAAAAGTTTCATTTCATAGAAAAAATTATTGTGTTATTTTCATAATTTTTGTAATGTTGTTTTGCAAAAAAACATTTATATAGAGTTATCGAAAAATAATCACAAGTTTTGTGTTATTTTTTAAAAAATAATAGTAGTATATATAGTACAAAAAACAATTTGAAGTGTCGCTTAAAAAAATAATTTCAACTTACAAAAAATGTAGTGAGTTATGAAGTAAACAGGTTCGTTCCATTTTGTAGAATTTTTTGTTCAAATATTAGCAGATTATCAATTTTTTTAAAAAATAATTAGTTTCACTCTAAAAACATATATTTAAATTTGGTATGATTTATAAAAATATTTTTAAATAGTATATTTAAATTTAAAGTTAGATATTAAAAATGAAAAAAACTATCGAAAATAATTTCACTTTTCATTTATTTAAAAAAATAAACATTTTCTTAAAATTCCATTAAGTGGCCGTTAGTTTTTAAAACTTGGTCACATGAGGAAAGTAATACTCCTTCTGCCCCTAAATATATCTCACATTTGCTTTTTCAGCAGTCGTGGGAACTTTTGTTTATTTCTAGGTTTTCATTGGTTATTTGATAAAATAAAATATTCTTGACACTTTTTATTTTGAAGAACTTTTCATGTAGTTTTTTGATATGTAAATTTTAATTTTTATTTCTATACTAATATGCAAATAAAATGAATTGAGAAAACCTGATATTTTACGTCAATTATAGAAACATGAGATATATTTAGATACGGAGGGATATTATTTAATAATTACACTATATTCCGTAGCCATATACTCCGTACATCTTTCTAGAATTGTCCATCGTCTATTAATATGACCCTCTAAACTCTTCCACGACGGCAAACATAGAAAACCCTAGAAGAATTTGCAGCTGAGAGATGGCTATTCTTTCCGACTACGAAGAGCCTGAAGCTAATGCGCCTTCTTCCTCGGCCACCTCAACCAAGCCGTTCAAGGCTTCTCTGGATCCCGCTAACCCGCTTGGGTTTCTTGAGACGGTGTTTGGGTTCCTCGCGCGCGAATCTGATTTGTTCAAGAGCGATTCATTGATCAACGATGTGAATGCGGTGGTAAGGATGGTTAAGGAGAAGGTCCAAACCCAGGAGCGAATGCAGAAGGAGAAGGACCGTGGGACGAACGGGAATATTGACATAGAGATGAAAGAGGCGCCCATCCCTGCCTCGGCTGCACCTCCAAAGGAGGTGAAAGCAGAGGATGATACGGCTGC